GAACCTGAATAATTGCTGTGCCATCAGACCACCTTATTTGTACTATACATCTTTATAATTATATAAATGATATGAAAGTATTATTAGCCATTTATCCCCCTGGATAAAGAGATGATGTAATGAATAGCTAAACAGAAGCTAAATGCTGTTATTTACTGTAACAGTGGAATAAAAGAAACCTCTTTATTATTGCATGTGATACAATAATAGCAGCAATAACAACAGCAATAATCTACATTTGGGTAACGCAGATCTCTTACAGTCCACCCCCTTCTGGTCTGCCCCCCACTCTTGGGAAAACAGTCCTTCTCTCTATCCACAGGGCTGGCATCGTGTGGGATAGTGCCTGTCTACTCTCTCCGGTTTAATTCTTTGAAACTGACATGAAAGGTGCTGTTCTTCAACAGCAAGATCAATAGCACAGTAGATGCATTTTACATATGCAAGCAGGCGTGAACAGGATTGCAATTGCATGGTTGGCAAATCATGATAACTGTACCAGCAATTTCTAATGTTAATCGTGTATACTGGCTAAAACTCAAAGCAGATGTGCTAAGTATAACATTCAGTGGATGTGTGGAAAGCAAGACCCAGGCAAAAGTGGCTACTTGTAGCACTTAAGCTAAAGCAGGAACAAATCCTTCCAAACTATTGCCAGCTTTTATCCCAGCACAAGAGTAAGTAACTAGCAGTAATCTGTGCTGTGCATGATGACATTGAAATTGTTTTTCCTGTCTTCACTGAAGAATTTCCTGCAGCTGAAGGCGGACAGGTCTCATAGATCAGGAATCATTTTATTATTTTTTCTCTTTAACTTCTGTCATCCACATAAAAGAAAACACACACACTTTCACAGCATGGCAATTTTCTCTATTTGTTTGTGAAGAGTTCTATAAACATATAATACTGGTGCGACTTCGTGACTGATTTTTTAAAATCTGTTTTCATCTTTTTAAGTTGAAAAGACTACAAGAGCAGACAAGTAAAAAGGAACACCGTCAACCAGAGTTTTCCCAGACCAACATCATCAGTTGATTTCTTTGCAGTCTAATTAAAAGATGGAAAAAGGAGCACTGCGTTTGTATTCTTCCCAATCACTTGTCCAGAGATATCGGATATAGTAGCTCACACTGCTTGCCTCTTTTGGGATTTCAGATATGTCATGGTTTAAATTAATTTAAACATAACAAAAAAAATCTAAACGTTTGACATCATTAAGCTCTATTTGACAAAATGTGGCAATTGCCCAGTTACCTTGTAGATCTGAGTATCTTTAATGCGGCACAACTGCATAATATAATACCACCCTTCCTGCACTGTTTTACTTGTTATGACATTTTATGTCAAGCTATGGGTAGGTATTTCCAACTCTTGTCCTCATTTTGGCTCTCTTGTTCTTCTGAATATCACCTTACAAAACATACCCTGGATATCGGTTCATACACTCCAGTGCTTTGTAATTTGCCTCCCTCACAGGCCATGATGATGCATTCAGACAGCAGGTTCTATCCCAAATTCCCAGTCCTGCGATCATCAAAGAGCACATTTATATGCATGGTACTGTAACAGGATAATATGATTTCAAGAAGAGAATGGTTGTGCAGGTCACAGTTCATGGTTAGTCAATCAGTCTGAAAAGCCGAAAATGGCTGTGTTAGAAAGAAAGCTGAGATTTACAATGACAGCAGGAATGTGTGGTTTTAATTAGAGTAGGCCCCCTTTGCCTTGGAAAAATCCTTAATTACCTGGATTTATGCCCTGCACCGTTACCCCCTTTGCAGGAAAAGCTCATCACGCAAGGAAAGCTCAGGATGCTGGCATTTGGCCCTCTTTGTCTAATTACATACCAACTGGGCACTTTGGTGCCACTCAACATTAATTCTCCAGCAATAAATGAAACACAATGCAAAGTTCCCACCACACAGCCTTCAACGCTGTAATCTAAAACTACTGAGGCAGTCCACATTTTGTATCATGCAGTGCCTCTCTGAGGTCCTGTGTCCAATTAGCACAAATGAAATATTTGTAGTACATTTTCATTCTCTTACTATGTTCTGTTTTGACTAATTTTGTTGGCATTTTATAATTTCCTAACTCACGTTTAGCTGCTTTTTACCGCAAGGACTACTTAAAGGTAAATTAATTGCTTTTGGACTTTTTTGTAAAATCAAACAGAATTCTATGAAGAGAGAATTCACCCAAAATTAGGATTTTTCAGAGTTCTGATCAGAGTCTGTTTTGGTCTTAGTGACAAGAGATGAGTGCCATTCAAACCATATTGTCATTCTTTCACTATGGATCTGTTTTCACCTGGTGTTCTGAGCAGATCACGGTTTTATCTTAAGGCTTTGATGTTTTTTAAATACATCACTGTTACAAGCCTTACACCCAAGCAGGCTTCAAACCTGTTCTTTCATTAGTTTCTTTGTGCCATTTGCATTTCCCCCTTGGTGGGTTTCCATCTTGGTAAATAGGTTTTTCTTTCAAAAGTCATAGTTAGCTGTTTCGTGAAGCATGAGGCAGATTTGAGAATTTAAGGAAGATTGGCAATACTACACACCAAATATTTTTATTGCCCTTTAAAAATAAATGACACCAAACAAGGAAAGTAACCTAATTAATTCTGTTTATTACTGTTGTTTGTACTCCACTATAAACTAATTTTGTTAAATGAAATGGAGTGAAAAGGTTGTTTACTTTTAAATGTTGGCTTTAGTACTTGATATACTGAATGCTTTTGGGGGGGGAGTATTTTTGTTGAAACTGTTGTAAAGTATTTTAAATCTTGAATTCCTTTCAATGGCTTATTCTGGTGTTTTAGCAGGATAAGTTGAAAGGAGTCTTGCACTTCAGCTCAAAACATTCTCAAATAGTTATCAGCACAAATGTGTGGTTAGTTGTTGTTTTCTAATTAGTATGTCTTAAGATCAATTTAATGTAAAGTATTTGTAAAGTGAAAGCACTAACCATCTTATCTTTATGCAAACTAAATATATTTTTCTTTCCTTTTTTAGATTTTTATTTATAATGAAGGAATATTTTTGGGCATGCAGTTCTGTTTTACCTTGAGAGCTGAACACCCTCTGCTATATTTCTTATGTTTTTTGTTGTTTTCCCTAGACATCAGTCACTAAAATATTTTTTTGGGCATAAGCATATAGTTATCCTCTAGTTGGATTTTAATTATGTGTTCTCTCTCTCTCTCTGAAACACTTGTACAAAACATATGAATATAGCCCTGTTGAGAACCAGAGTGCTTTTCCGAGGAAGCTCCGGGAATTCCAGATTGCTTGATGTGCACTTTTTGGATGACAAAAAGAAACATAACATCTATGTTTCTGGCTGCTGTTCATGCAAATAACCAGGAGCACTGTGATTTCTGAGGGGTTGTCTGGGTTTCTGGGCTTTGGAGTTCTGCAGAATAGTTGTTATTTGAAACTCATGTAGGTCCAGGTAGGAAGCACAGGGCACATGCACACGCGAACAGGGTGATTTAACTCCCACAATTCACAGATGAGCTGTTTAGAGGAAAAAAGGCCTCCTCAAGCTGCCAAGCGGACAACATTCAGGTTCAACAGAGGTGACCCTGGCTGGAGTTGAACTGGGCTGTAATGCTGCAATTCCAAAAGCCTAACTGCTAACCACTGAGACACTCAACTGGTATTTTCAATCTTTATTTTTCATTTTATTCATTGTATCTATACAACTTGATACCTGATAATTCTTCTGTTTCAGCATGAGATGCTTAAAAAGGAAAAAAGTGGAGTAAAATGTTAAGGATACTGCGTACAAGTAGTACAGAAGCAATTCAGATTCCTTTGTTGAGCGTGTGGGTTGTCAAATGCATTGGCGTTTTTAGATATTCCATACAGTATGTCTAATTTCTTTCTTTATGAGCTTTTCACTGTGCAAAATATTGACAGAGCTATAGTGTGGGCATTAAGGTTGGTCAGATTTGACAATTGCTTTGCCGTAAACATCTAATCAGTTGCCATTGCAAAGACCAAGAAACTAGCAGCTCTAAATTAACAGACCTTCTCGTGCAGAGGAGTCTCTCCTGACTTGACCAGGGGCTAATTGTTTCTACAGAAGGCAGGCAAATTAAAGGACTGACATTTCATTATTTTTCTCCAAAAAACTTTAAAATTAGTTGAATCCCTGAAGATGCTGGTTAGTCAAAGCCAGAGTGAAAACTGCAGGGATTTATAAATCATTTAAGGCCGTTGTGTCTTTCATGTTTTTTTAGACAGAGAAAGCTGAATGCATGAATGCTTTATCAAGATGGATTACAATTAACAGCTGTATATTTTTCCCTCCTCCTCTCTCCACATGATGTCCTTTACCAGGTTGTAAAGAAAAGCTAATTTTTGTTAACTTGGAACAATATTTTCTGAAGTTTATTATCATGGATGAGTACCAGGTCTTTAATTTAATGATTTAAGTTGCATCATTTTCTACAAATTAAGTCCCTCCAGGGTGCTAGTTATTCAAGCTAGCATCAAAGTAAAAAAGGCTTGACTAAAAACACTTTCCTTGTACTTTGTTCATATATTGTTTTTTGATTTTGAGTGTTATATGGATGATTCAGATAATTTAAAAATAGAAAGTACTTTGTTTGTTAGGTTACCAGTACTGGTCTTTTATCGGGTCTTCTTTTGAGGTTTTGTCTTTACTGTTAGTGTACAGTACATCATTTTAAAAAAGTCCAGAAAAGATAGTTTGTTTTTATGCGTTAAATGTCCACAGTTTATTAGTTAGAATCAGAAAATGGTATATCGATATATGGAAGAAGATAAAAGCTAGAACCTCGGAAAAGGTGTTATTTTAAGAATCAGCTTTAAAGAATAAGCTTGGAGGTCCCACAACGAGACCACAAAATGCACATTTGTGGAAATATTTAGTATTTCCTTCATGGAAGAAGTCCTCAAACAGCACTGGAGTTATGTGCACGGACTGAAACCACCACTTTAATAGTCCCCATTCTTCCCTCTCCCTCGCAGGACCCGTCGTTCTCGGCTCTCATCCACGACAAGCTCCAAGTCCCCAACACCACCCGGAAGGCATGGAATGAGAAGGACAACCGCTGCGACATTTGCGCCACCCACCTGAACCAGCTGAAGCAAGAGGCCATCCAGATGGTGCTGACTCTCGAACAGGCGGCCTCCCTCGAGCAGAGCGACGTGTCCCCGGGCTCCCCTCCTCTCTCCAGCATCCCTTCTCTGGTGGGCTCGCGCAACATCAGTGGCCTGCAGGGGCCCCGTGACTGGTCCTACCTCCCGGCGGCCTACAGCACTCCAGGCTACACCGGCTTCCTACCTGGCAAGCACTCCAGCAAGCCCAACAGCCTGGGCATCGGCACTGGGCTGGAGAAGAAGAACGGCTCTCCGGGGCACGCTGGAAAACCTGGGGCGCAGATGCCCACAAGCCCCAGCAATGGCAATATTCTGAGCTCCGTGGCCATCCAGGCGCACCAGTACCTGGAAGGCACCTGGTCCCTGTCGAGAGCCAATGGAGTAACCCTCTACCCCTACCAAGTGAGTCTGCCATTGACTGCTTTATTAAGATTTGAGGTCTGGTCTGCTTTCTTCTGTCGAATCGACCTGTGCCTTTCTGCTTTTAAAAATTAAATCAGTTTAAGCTTGTCCCACACTTTTAAGTTCTAAAAATGGTGCACTGTATAGTTTAACCTAGAAGCCAAGGGCTTCTCTGCTCTTGGCTTCTGGTGATGATGAGCATAGTTAAAGAGGGAGATTGACGGAAAGCACATTTATTTTTTATTTCAAGACCTGAAATAAATATGAGCCTTTAAAATGCCAACTGACGGTATAACTCAAGTCAATTGAAAATAAATAGACCTAGTCTTTCCAGACACAGTAGCATTCATCATGCAGCATGGATGAAAATTTTCTGCATGTTCCGAGAGTGTATTAGTGACGAATTGGATAGAAAACTGTCTCCTGTTTCTTATAGTAGACGCCGAAGGCCTGTGCAAATCCCCTTACTTTCTTAACAGGCCAAGGCCAGTTTTGTCCATTCAATAACTGGGAGGAGTTGATTTGCTCCATTAACTTTCTACTAGTCTGTTTGCTAAAGCCAGAAGCAATCTGCAATTGAAGCCACTGTTTGTTTTTTTCTTTCTGACATCGGCATCTTGGAAGATAACACATAAGATTGATATCCTTGAATTTTGAGTGCAAGGATGTTGGAATGGGTAAAACGTGACTGTTTTACTTGTGATATCAAGTAAATAAAAAAGAGGTTCATTTAATTAAGGGTATTTATAAAATTATGAATAAAAACATTTTGGAAGTGAATAAAAAGTATTCCATCCATCCATCTTCAGGGGAGCTGGTGCCTATTCTGGCAGGCAACAGGTGGAAAGCAGATATACCCTGGAAGGGATGCCAGTCCATTGAAGGGCACACACAGATGCAAACATATACCCTCATGCCAGGGCCAAAATTTCCAGAATCCGATTAACCAGAGTCTGCCTTTGGACTGTGGAAGGAAACTGGAGCACCCAGAATAAACCTAGGTTTGTACAGGAGAATGTACAAACTCTGTACCCCAGGAATTGAACCCAGGGTCCCAGTGGTGCAAACCAGAAATGCTAGCCACTGTGCACCGTGTCTTCCTGAATAAAAAGTATTTTGTATATATAATTGTTTGCTTTTTATTTCTGTATGCAACACATATTTAAATAGCTAACTGTGTAAATGTCGATCCTTTACCAAATATAGCTGAAATAATTTATAAATTCACCACAGCATTGCACCCCTTTATCGAATCTTCCTGTTCTGCAAGATGAAAAATGAATTTATATCGATATAGTTTTTTTTTCTTATAACTGACAGAAGCCCCTTTAGGTGTCTTCCTTTTTGTCTAACCACCCAGGAGCCTGCATTGCCTGGACTTGGAGAAGTCTTGGTTAATTAAACATGTTTAAATCTTGAGTCTTGCACTCACTTTCCAAAGCAACAGAAAGAAACAAAGGTATGACATACAAACTGACATGTCTTTCAAGAAGTCTTCTGTCTCTGTTTTTCAATTTAATTTTACACACGCACGCATAGTTTTACTGGGTTATTTAGACAATTAATGAACCCTCTGAGGAGAAGCAGTTCCCGCTTGTGATTATGTTTGTACTTTGTCTGAAGCAAGGTCATTTTGCTCCTTTCCTGTTTCAGATTAAACCAAAAAGGTGGGTGAAAATGAAAACTACCTCAAGCAATGTGAGGGTACAATGAACTCTTCTAAAAGCAATTTTAGTTAGAGTGGAGCGGTGAATTTATTTTTATAACAGGATCTTGCAGTATCTGTGGAGAAAAATCAATCTGTGAAGTTCCCTCAATGATGAATTCCTTCTGAAGACTTATAAAGCTTTTTCATACGAGTGAGGTTGATAGCAGGGGATGATGGAAAGACTGTAGCGCCAACCCAAGCTGGAGGCACTTGCCCAAAGACATGTTGTTGACTGCCGATTTGTTAAAATAATGCACCAATAGGGTTCACTGTCGTCATTCTAATTTTCTAACTGGAAACTAGGTGGGAGTACATTTAGGAACTAAAACAAGAGGCCCTTTTTTGACACAACGTGTAAGCATGGAACAAGCCACCCAGTCATGTTGTTGAAGCTGATACACTGGCTTCCTTCAGGAAATAACTGTGGATATGATCCTTGGATCAATAAGCTATTAATTACTAAAAAGCCTATTTGGGCTGAGTAGCCTGATCTCATTTGTCACCTTTCTTATGTGGCTTACACCCCTCAGCTTCATGTAAATAAAATAAAGCTACATGCTAAGTTACATTAAAAGTTTACTAGAGCTGTCAGAACATCTATGCCATACTTGCCCTCTTTGCACAAGTGTTACCTTTAAATAAGTGTTTTTATGTGAAACCAGTTTTGAGGAGGAAAGGAAGTCTTTTAATGTCATTAATTTTGAATCATCAATGCTTTTTAAACCTCGGCTTAATAGCACTTGATAATATTGGCTCCCGTGACACCACTTATCTGGAGAAGCCCGAAAAATAAAAGAATTGGATAATGAGAAGCAGGATGTCTGTATGTAGGAAACCAAATCAGATGATGACCGTTACGAAGTTTGAACAAAACTCAAAAAATCTCCAATTCAGTTTGACAGAGGCCTTTACCTTGCCTGCCATCCAGGACTGCAACTAATAAAGCTGGGATGTCTAGATTAAATGTGCACTCAGTTAGAAAATAATCTCTAATCTCTTACATTACTGAAAATAAACTTATTGGGGTTGATAACAGTAAAAGCAAATTTTGATAGATATAGATGTTTTAGCCTTTGGGCACTACAAATTAGCAAGTAGCAGTCTAATTGTTTTATCTGATTGAGCAAAGAAAATCAGTTTAGAGTCATTTAGGTTTGGAGGGTTTTTTATCTTATTGCTGCAGTTTTACTTTGTGATAACGAATACAATCAGCTCTTTAGAGACTTTTAAAAAAAAGCATATATTTGCTGTTGGCTCTTAATCCACCCACACAAGAAAGCAGGTTACAGAACTTTAAAGCTTCAGAATAAGTGATGATTGAAAAAGATCTATGTCACTCTTCAAAATCAGGGAAAAGCATTTCACTGGGACATATATATATTTTTTTCCAGTATCCCTTGTGTTGTTTTACAAGTCTCTGATTGACTGAAAATATTTCATGTTAAGACTGTTGGCTAAGAGTTAGCCAAGAGTTTGGCCAAAGGTTTTAGCCATGCTAAGAGTTTGACATAGAAACAAATATGCACACATCTCCTTTTACAGCTAGGGAATGTAAGATGAAAGATGCTATCTATGTGTTTATTATGTGTTGTTTTCTTGAAGATAAATGTAAATCTCCAAGCACTGCTCGAAATTGTCTACCAGTTCTATATTTGGACTTGACACCTTTTGCAAGAAACTAGCAGTAAGGCATCTTGTTGGTTTTTGCACCGTAGACCACATACCAGTTTGTGTTTTGTTTTCAGATCAGTCAGGAAACTGGCGTCCAAGTTTGTTTTTAACCATGTGATTCACTGATTTTGAACTCTGTCCATTGCTTTACAAAAACAGAACTAAAAGCAAAAGTTCTTCACCTCCAGGTGTAATTGCAGTTATCTGAACATAAGCAATAAATCTCAGTGATGAAGAACACTGCCCTCTGGTGTTGTCAGCATACACACTGGGAAGGTTTCCATATATTACAAAGAAAACGTTTTTCTCTATCGGCACAGAGCATAAACTGCAAGTGTTCTCTGACACAGTACACCTTATGTTTAAACTGGGGCTTTTAAGCGGTGGACCTAGCTTAATTTAGTTAAGTTTGGTTTTGGTACTACTAGTACTACTGTACTGTCTTTTCCTTTTTTAAACACTTATCTGCATCTTCCTGCAATTGAGTTCTTGATTTTTGAATGATGGGCAGGGCAGCAAACAGGGTGACAACTGCATTGCAGTTTTATCAGTTTCAGTCTTTTAGAGCAATCTCTTAAATACCCCAAACACTAAGATCTGTATTTTCTAGGTTTAGTTACCTCATATTAGTTACTTTGTGTAGGCATGTGTGGAGTTGGAATAATATTAACATTTAGTGCTTCATTGGTGCCATAAATATTAATACCTGCAGCTTTTGCAACCTAAAATGAAACCTCATTCCAAGAATTGGAAATGTATTTGCCTCCTTGAAGTAGAAGCTACGGTATGTAGCTGGGATTCAGAATAACAGTGAATATGTCATTACTGTGATCAGCTAGACATATCTAAGAATAGATTTGTTGAAGTGGACAGTGACATGCTGTTTTTTTGCTATGGTGTGGATTTTAAAGAAAGTAAGCCTTTTTAATAAATATAATTTTTTAAAGTACAGTACATGGAAACGCATGTCTTTTAACAAGTGTGAGGCATGAAAGTAAATCATTATGCTCTAATGGGTGTGCTTATTTACTATGGGAGTAACCTTCATGTACTGTTTTGCCTCTAAGGCGAAGTGATAGAAACTGATCTTTGTTTAATGCATTTGAGTAAAGAACTGACCATGAAGGTGTCCTCACTTAGATAAAGAGATAAATTAAGGTACTCAATACAGAAGCAAAACCACAATAAAGGCCCATCCTAAACTGCCTAATAAAACTCCCTTCAGTATCTCTGCTCACCAAGTGAGTACCCTATATACCAGTGCCATTTCTGGGGTGTGACAATTCTTTTTTAATATGGCTTTTGTTTAAACTCAGATTTTGTTTATAATGCATAACATGTGAAAGTCACATTTGTGCCACTTTAAATGCAGTGGTTTAGATGCAGCGTTCATACCACATGAAAAAGAGAATGAAGAAACAACTAGTACATACAGGAAAGGGACGTTGACTGGTCCATCAGGCAGAATAGCTGCATATTTCCATGTCTTAGAGTAACTGGACACTAACTGGACTTGGTCTTGAAATAAACCCAGTGCATGAACTGGAAATTTGTACTAATGGAAATGGAAAAATGGGTACAGTATATCAAGTGTCCGGTGGCTTAGAGTATTTTGCCATTG